GTCAATTAAAATAATTAACTTGCTTTTTGTGTCAACAAGTGGGATAAACCCACATTCATAGATGTTAAGAATAAGATAATGGTCTATACCAACTAACGTTTTAAACGAAGCAATTCTCCTGAAATTTTCTTTCCGACTTCTTAACATTTTTGTCGCGATTTCGACGTATTTAATTAAACTGTCTTTGTTTAAAAAACTCTCGTTTCTTCCATCACAACACCTATTTCTGTTGAAAGACAAGTATTGTTTCTAATTAAATCTTGTAATTATTTTATTGTCAAATTTTTGTTGGTTTTTGTCTGAATAAACTGTTGTAAATCAATAAAAGTAAAACATTTAAGTTGTTCGTTTTTTGTTATTTCGGTTTCAATTAAATCGATTTCTTCACAAGTAAATATTTTGGGGCGACCCACTTTTTTCTTTAAAATGTTTTTCCGTCTTAACAAATAACGTATCATACTTTCCCAATTGCAAGAAAATTTGCAATGTTCACAACAATACCGGGGTTTTCTTAGTAAAAAGTAGTAATAGTATTATTTACAAATTCAATTTGTTGTGTGCGTGATTGAAATGTTTGTGGATTAACCGATTCTTCTTTATAATTTTTTTGAAAGCTTCAATCAGCTTCGAGTTTCGTTTCTTTTTGTAAACCTTGTCAAAAATTCACAGAAGATGGTCCTTTTTCTTTGCTCGTTACAATTTGATATTTTGTCTCTTTTTCATCAAAAGGTTTTGAAACATTTCGTTTTTGTTTGATTGTATAACGTTTTTATCATTTTTAAATTTTATATATTAATGAAATAATTATTAGTTATTATTATTTTTGTTGTTGAAAAAATTAACATGATAATTAATTAAATAATAACAAATAGAAGGGTAAACATGCAAATTTAAACCTAAAAAAGCTTTTGTAAATTTTATTACGTTTATGATAATGACGAAATTTGTTGATAAAATTAATAATGATAATTAATAAAAAGCACATTTAAAAACAAAATAGAGTGAATAAAAAATTTTTAATTATAAAATTAATAAATTCAATAATAAATTTTGCACACGAATCATGAACACCTTTTTTCATATGATATGATCATAAGCAACAAATGATATGATAAATATTTTTTTGAAAAAGTAAACACAACTCCACAAATGTATTCTAGTTTTATTAATTGTTGCATTTTTTTTCAAAGTAAAAAGTGTTGATTTTATTGTTCAATAAAAAGAATGCTTTTTAAATACAAATTTAATTACAGCAGTATTTTATTTAGTGAATCCTTGTATAATTTGCCAAATTTAACAGTTTTATAAAAAATTACACTGAAAATTTGATGATATTTTTTTGTTTTTTAAGTAGGGTAGGGAGCTATATAATATAAACCAAAGCATTGTTTTATCATTAAATCGGAATACTTTATTTTACTAAACCAGTTATTTCTAGTCAACCACACAATAATAATATTACTTATTTGTCAATATTTATGACAATAAAAAGTAACACTCGTTTTTTTTTATAATTGGATGTGACATACAAACGTGTTGATATTCAACTAGAATACTTAATTTTTGTTATTTTTTTAATTTGCATAAAATTAAAAATAGAAATTAGTTATAATAATACATAAATGTATTATTAAATTATATTAGTTTAACCTAATATTTACAAATACTATTGGTTTTCAAACTATATTTTTTTAAAAAATTGATAGTTATTATTCAGATTAACACTTAACTGGCCGAAAACCAAATTTTTATTAGAATAATAACAATATCAAAAAATGCCTTCTTGAAAAAAGTCATTAAAAAAGACCAAAAACCCCTTCTTGGCCGAAAAACCGAAAAATGACACAAAACTTAGTCAAAAATAATAAAAATGAGGACTCAATTACCTAAGATTTGTTTTTGAGGTTAAATATAGCAACACATATTTTTTTTTCAAAAACACAATCAAACTTTTCAAGAGCGGAAAGGTATGGTAATTTTTGTTCTCTCAAGAACGGTCATTTTAGACAACCAAATTTAATTATCACTCTATAGAGAACTCGATTTATGTTTCACTCTAAACTGCTTTCTATTGAGAAAACACACTCTTCTAAAATGCCACTTTTGTTATATTTTACTATATTTCAGAACCCCAAATTTATTTTATTAAATAATAATATATCAAACATACAATAACAAATCTTGTCGCATAAACAAGACGTATATTAATAATACGAAAATGAATCATAACAAACTCAATTTAATTTACGTTGATGTTGACTAAATGAACAGCAAGTAGCTTTTTAATTCGATAATATTTTTTTATTGAAGATTTAGTTCATGTCATTAAAAATAGATTTTAAATAAAAAACAAAAAAATAATCTATTAATATTATTATTATATAATAAGATAAATAAATAAAAAATAAATAAAACAGTTTAGTTAGTTATTTTTCAAGTTATTTAATTAATATAATAAAACAATTGTATATAAAAGTTTCTAAATCCCCAAACATAATTTTTTTATTTGCAAATTAAAAAAAATTCTATAATATTAGTTTATGTTATTATAATTATACAAAATAATTATTTTATTATGTCTTTACTTTCTAAATTATTTTTGTATAAATTCTATCAAATTTCATTTTAAAAACAAAGGCAAAAATCAAATTTGGTAAAGAATTATTTGAAAAGTTATATTTTTTAGCTTTGGGCCATTTGAGTGTTAACTAGATTGTGTTTTAATATACGTACATTCAAATGATACTATAAACAAACTTTGTGATATAAAGGAGGCCCTGTAGCACAGTCGGTAGTGCATCGTACTTATAGAATAGAGTTATGCGAGGGTCGCGG